TATTACATGAGTTGTCTAATTAAAATGAATAATATATCTGAATATGTTATCTGAAATACATTAAATTTGTAGTAAATGTATATTAAAAGTTTAGTAATCTTGCTCTCAGTGGATCACATTTTTAAGTAATTTCTCTTGCTTCAGATACAGGTTAAAGAACATAAACTTTTCAGAGTTTCAAGACATATATTAGAAAGTCTTATGTTAGGTGAGTTGCCAGCTAAGTAGACTTTACTAACTTTCCATCCCTATTTTACTGTGGACTGGTACTTAAAGACAAAGGTTCTAAGAATGGCTGCACCTTTGATCTGCTTCTTACTGTGCCTAATAGCAGATGCTCCAAGAATGAGAGCAAGGCAAGCATGTACGATACTTCTGCTAATCTCCCAGGCTCCAACTCTTTCCAGCATGGAAGCCGCTTCAATCAGCTGGGGTTTCCATGTATTTACTAATGCTCAGTGTATTTCTTTTCCATTATTTACTATTGTTGGCAAACTTTAATCTCATTTTTTCAGGTCATTTACAGATATCTTGAATAGCATAGATACCAGTACAGAAACCTATGAAAACTCACCTTTCTCAGCTGTGAAGACCGATGATTTACTCCTATCCTCTGTTTTGTACCTTTTGAGGAATTATTTATCTGTGCCATGTCATTTCTTTTTTATGCCCCGTTTGTTAAGCTTTGCTGAAAAGCTTTGATTAAGGACTTTCAAAACTCTCTTGGAAATCTAACTAGATCATAGCTCTCCATCCATGTGCTTATAAACCTTTCAGACATCTCACTTTACCAAAGCTGTGTTGTCTCTTCTCTAACAAGTCATCCAGGTGTCTGCTAATTCAGTTCTTCATAATGATTTATACTAATTTGTCTGGATGTCAGGCTTACAGGCCTGTAGCTTTCAAGATGTTCTATGAAAACATGTTTGAACCTTGCTGTTGTGCCTGCCACCTTTCAGTGTGTATTAAGGAGATATACAAATTGTTACTAATGAGGGATGGGGTGCTAGCGAGGTCTGTCGGTCTACCGTCTCAGTGGAGGCAGGGGATGGAGATCGATGCAGCAGCAAAGACGCAAGGGTTATGGATGTGTTGGAAACCACGGAAGTGCCTGAGAATGGTCACGTAGGAATTAGGGCTTCTTCCCCCAAAAAGGTGGCGGGATCAATAGCCCAACTGAAGTGCATCTACACCAACGCAGGCAGCATGGGCAGCAAACAGGAGGAGCTGGAAGCCATTGTGCAGCAGGAAAACTATGACATAGTTGCCATCACAGAAACATGGTGGGATGACTCGTACAACTGGAGTACTGCAGTGGATGGCTAGAAACTCTTCAGAAGGGATAGGCAGGGAAGGAGAGGCAGTGGGGTAGCCCTGTACGTTAGGGAGTGTTTTGACTGTCTAAAGCTTAATGAGGGTGATGATAGGATTGAGTGTTTATGGGTAAGAATCAGGGGGAAGGCCAACAAGGCAGATATTAGGGTGGGAGTCTGTTACAGACCACCCAACCAGGATGAAGAGGCAGACGAAATATTCTATAAGCAGGTGGGAGATGTCTCACAATCGCTAGCCCTTGTTCTTGTAGGGGACTTCAACTTACTAGATGTCCGCTGGAAATAGAATACAGCGGAGAGAAAACAGTCTAGGAGGTTCCTGGAGTGTGTGGAAGATAACTGCCTGACACAGCTGATGAGGGAGCCAACTAGGGAAGGTGCCCCGCTGGACCTGTTGTTGGCAAACAGAGAAGGCCTGCTGGGTGATGTGATGGAGGCCATCTTGGGCATAGCAATCACAAAATGATAGAGTTTTCAATTTTTGGGGAAGTAAGGAGGGGGGTCAGCAGAACTGCTGCCTTGGAGTTCCGGAGGGCAGACTTTGGCCTGTTGAGGAGCCTGGTTGACAGAGTCCTTTGGGAGGCAGTCCTGAAGGGCAAAGGAGTCCAGGAAGGCTGGACATTCTTCAAGAAGGAAATCTTAAAGGTGCAGGAGCAGGCCATCCCCATGTGCCAAAAGACAAGCCGGCAGAGAAGACCACCAGCCTGGCTGAACAGAGAGCTTTGGCTGGAACTCAGGAATAAAAGGAGAGTTTATGATCTTTGGAAGAAGGGGCAGGCAACTCAGGAGGACTATAAGGATGTCATGTGGTTATGTAGGGAGAGAATTAGAAGGGCCAAAGCCCAACTAGAACTTAATCTGGCTACTGCCGTCAAAGACAATAAAAAATATTTCTATAAGGTGACCCGCTTAGTGGATGAGGGGAAGGCTGTGTATGTTGTCTACTTGGACTTGAGTATGACACGATTTTCCCACAGCATTCTCCTGGAGAAACTGGCTGTTCATGGCTTGGACAAGCGTACTCTTCGCTGGGTAAAAAACTGACTGGATGGCCGGGCCCAAAGAGTGGTGGTGAATGGAGTGAAATCCAGTTGGCGGCCAGTCACAAGTGGTGTTCCCCAGGGCTCAGTGTTGGGGCCAGTTCTGTTTAATACCTTTATCGATGATCTGGATGAGGGGATCAAATGCACCCTCAGTAAGTTTGCAGACGACACCAAGTTGGGGCAGGAGTGTTGATCTGCCGGAGGGTAGGAAGGCTCTACGGACGGACCTGGACAGGCTGGATCATTGGGCTGAGGCCAGCTGTATGAGGTTCAACAAGGCTCAGTGCCAGGTCCTGCACTTGGGTCACAACAACCCCATGCAATGCTACAGGCTGGGGGAGGAGTGGCTGGAGAGCTGCCTGGCAGAGAAGGACCTGGGGGTGTTGGTTGACA